CTGCTGGGAAAGCTCCTGCAGTCCCCCTGTGGCTGGTGAGTGGAGGCACGATGTGCTCATGGGTGGCATGTTGGAGCTATTTCACATACGTGAACCTGGGCATGTCAAACATTAATGGTTTTTATCAGGCCTCTGTGGGTGTGGGCTCTGTTTTACCCAGGTCAGTGAACAACCCTCTGGGGCCATGTGTGGAACTAAGTGCTTGGTGTAGCAAGAGTCAGAGTGTTTCCCAATCCCTAAGTGCTGGTGGAACATTCCTAAGTGCTGGTGGAACAGAAAGTCCAGTTTTAATTGAGGCTTGGTGACACAAGTGGAATCCTCAGCAGTCCTTTGCTGTGCCAGGAGCTGCCAGGCTGGAGCTGTTACCGGGGCCTTTGCTCCGTGTGCTCCGGGCACAGCCACTCCCACCTGTGGGCCAGGAGCATCTGGCACATCTGGGCTGTTTCTGAGAAACCTGCATTTGTCTGGGGCTGCTTCCCTGGCATGGAACAGCCCTGCCTTTGTCCTGGGCATTTGTTCTCCCTGGAACAGTGGCTGATGGGCAAAGCCTCATGTGAGGCTCAGGGTTGCTGCTGCAAACCAAAGGCAAAAAGAAGTGACAGGGAGGTGTTTCCTGCCTCACTATCAAATACCAAAGTCCTTTATAAAAGGGGAAAAATTAATAATTTGGACTGCATGCTCCTGTTTCTACTTTTTTCTTTTTATTTTTTTTTTTCCACCCCGGGGCAAGTTAATGAAACATCCACAGCAAGTGGCAGGAAATGTTGGGGGAAAACAGCAGATGCATTTGGGCAAGAATAAATTAAGTTTGCATGAGGCCCTGAATCAAAAATGGGGAGAATAATCAATGGTAATCATCAGGAGATTATTTATCTTTGGGATCCACGTCCTGAGGTGTTTGAAAAGCCCCCTGGGCTGGATGCACAGGGAGAGCAAGCAGGGTAGAGGGGTCTAAGGAGCAAGGATTTGTGGTTTTAAACCTTTGTTGTAAAGAGAGCTGGCTAATCCTGCATTTCAGCATTACACTGCCTTGCACTCTGCAGGACACAGGGGGGTTGGGTTGGTTTTTTTGTGGCTTTGTGTTTGTTGTTTGTTTAGTTGGACATTTACACTGATCACAGCCAAGGCAGAGTTGGTCCCACTGCTGGTCAGAAGTTGTTCTCAGTAGAAGGTTGGAATTGTAGCACAGAAAACCCAACCAAATTTGCCAGCACGGTTAAACTGCCCTGGGCTGGTTTGTGCAAGCAGGACACCTGGTTTGGAGGATGGACATTGCCTTGGGCTGCAGGAATTTGTGCTGCAAGCCTCAAACAGATGCACTGGAAGCGATAGAAGAGTCTCAGGGTTTTCCAGTGTGGCTCCAAATGGAAGGGTTGTGTGCTGGCTGTGGAACTGGGAGCTCAGGGACAGAGCTGCTCATGGAACATTACAGTTCTTGCACTGTGAGGCTGGGAGAGGTGCAGGTTTTGTGTTTGATGTAGTGACACTCTGGAGGACACTGTGCAATTGTGAGAGTCCTTACGGGGAAGAGTGTCCTGGAGTTGTGCCTTCTGGAGGTGGCTGTGCACCAGTGACCAGAACCATTAATGGTTTGTGGTGCACTGAGCATCGTGGGGGACAATTTGGGAACCCCTTAGCTCCAATATGTGTTTGATCACTTCAAACCAGCTCAGGTACAGAGGTGCTGCCCGTGGGCTCCCCCACCACATCCCGGGCTGGGAGCACCTTCTCCCGAACTCTGACCTCAAGGCACCTTGTGACAGAACCAAACAAAGCTTCAGTTAGACAAAAAAGACATCCCAAGTATAAAATACTGTCGCTTCCATAATTCTTTGTTAAGTATTTCATTAAGTGGCATAATTTCATTGCAACTTCATTTTGTCCCAATGAGTGTTTGCTGTCGGAAAACAAGCTGCATTTCCTTTCATTGCTCTGCAGAAAAGAAATGGAAAAAATGACTTGTCCTGAAACAAATCCTTTCCCCACAGTGTATTAAATGCAACCACAGTTTCAAGCTGTATTGGGAAAGTGAGCGGACTGGAGCGGGGTCGGAACTGGGAATGGGGCAGGACCCAGCCTGGATCAGGGCTGGAATTGGGAATGGGGGAAATGGCTTTATTAAAGCAATGTCCTGCTGTCCAGGGCAGTTTGACTCGTTCTGTGCCTTCTCTGGGGGTGAGTGAAAAGGGAGGGGGTTGGAGTCTGGGAGGTGATGATGTTGTTTGGGACACCCCGGTGGCACTGGGGGAGCAACGATGGGGTGGAGGGGCAGGTGTGAGTGGGGGCCCAAAAAAAGGGGAGTTGCAGCCCAGAAATGCTTAAAAATTCATAGGGGGTTGTATGTGCAGAAAATATTAAAAACCGTAGTTCTTCTCATCTTTATATACATTGAAAAATAATATTTATGTAAAAATTGATTTCAAAATACAACCCTGTGTCTATTGTATTATATAATCTTTGAGTATAAGTAATTCTAACTGTAGACTTGTAGCATTTGAAAATGCAAATGTAACTTTTGTATGTATAAATTAAACAACAAAGGGCTTGAAAATGTGAGAATAAAAGATGATGTCCACGTGGGAGCTGTGGGAGGTGGGCCCCGTGTGGAACAGCTGTCTGTGCTGTTCCACAGACACAATGTGCCTGCATTCCCAAGTGCCAGCAGCACCAGCGTCAAAGAGGAGATTCATTTTCCGGGAATGACATCGCTGGCCCTCGGAAGGGGTTTGGGCTGTTTTGGGCAGCATCAGCGTGGTGCTACGTTCTGAACCGGGGCAAACCCCGTCCATCCTGCGGGTGCCGTCCTGGGCCCAGGCCAGAGGGGCTGTGGTTGCCAGCTGCTCCCCGTGTCCGTGCTGAACCAGCATCCCAGGGGCACGACGGGCGCCCACGACACTTCAAAAGGGAGATTCTTCTCTCTGTGGGAGCCGGGATTTCAAGGGGCCAGAGACGTTCCTTTCCAGCCTGGTTCACCTGCCGCCCTCCCCGAGCACGGCGCCTGCGACTGCAAGGATTCCTTTTTGCCCGTCCCCAGCCGGTGCCAGCCCCGCTGGCCGTGCTCCCTGCGGCCCCTTCGTGCAGAGGAGGGAGAGCTGCGGAGATTTATTAACAGTGGGTTTGCTGACAGTGTTTGTCTGCACTCTTTCCCTCCTTTGACTCGCACGGCAGCGTCCGGTTTTTTGATTTCCCCTTCTGTAGCTGTTTGCCTCATAGGCAGGACCTGCCTCATCTGGAAATAAAGATTAAATGTTTTAAGTGGGTTTTTAAAACCAGAGGGTTTGCCAGTGGAGGGTGGGAGTTGCACAGACGGGGGGGAGAAGAAGGAGAGCATCAGGTGTGGGATGAGCTGCACCTTATTGAGCGCCGGGAAAAAGTGGCTGTTGGAAATGGCAGAAGTTCCGAAGGCGGGAGGGGAACGCTGAAAGCAGAGCTGGGAGCGGGCTGTGCCTGAGCCGCGGCCCGGTCAGTGCCAGCTCCGGGGCGGGCCGTGCTCCCGGGGCTGCCCGAGCGCGGACACGGGGACAGACGGGCGGCTGCGCTCCCGCTCCTCGACCGCGGGGCTCGGCCCCTCCTGCCCGCCGATCGCCGGGGCACCGGGACCGACGGACCCTGCCCGGGGCACCGGGACCGACGGACCGATCCCGCCCGGGGCAGCGGGACCGACGGACCCTGCCCGGGGAGCGACGTGTCCGCCAGGCGGCGCCGCGGAGCCTCGGGGTCGGGGCCGGCCCAGGTGTGAGGGGCAGGGCGCGTGCGCGGGGCACAGGTGCGCGAGGCCGCAGAGCGCGTGCGCAGAGCACAGGTACGCGAGACCGCAAGACGCGTGCGCGGAGCACAGGTGCGCGAGGCCGCAGAGCGCGTGCGCAGAGCAAAGGTGCGTGAGGCCGCAGCGCGCGTGCGCGGGGCACAGGTCCGTGAGGCCTCAGAGCCTGAGGAGGGGCTGAACTGCATTGCAACATCCAGCACTGCTGCAGATTGCCTTGGGCCCAGTTCTTTGACAGCAAATGCCAAAGTATTTGGAAATTCCTGGAAAAAGAAAAGGTTTGTTTAAATGTTGCTGAAGGTGACAGATAATGCAACATGTCCCATGCACCCGAGAGCCAGATTCCTGCCTTGGACATATGGAGATATAACCACAAGCAAACCCATGGAACTTTACAGTTCAGTCTAACTTTGAAGCTGGTGCTGCTCAGGGCAGAGGGCCAAGTCCTGTGACACCCTGAGCTGCACCTGAGCCATGGGACAGGGCACGGTGTGGGGGCTCGGATGCACACGAGGATAAGCAACTTCAGTCAGTTCTTGTGTTTGCAAGCAAAAAACTGCTTTAAATCCTCGTCTCAGAACTTGAAGAGACTTTAGTGGCCTGAATTCTGTCTGTCCCCAGTGCCTGGGGCTGAGGGCAGCACTGCTGGGGGACCCTCATGGTCCATGTGGTCCATGCCCAGGGCTGAGGGTGGCACTGCTGAGGGACCCCTGTCCTTGTCCCTGACACCACCCTGGGCAGCAGCTCCTGAAATGCCCATTCTGGGGGCACTGGCCAGCTCCTGAAATGCCCATTCTGGGGGCACTGCCAGCTCCTCCTGGCACAGGGATTCGAGTGGGCTCTCACACACACACTGGCCTTGCTCTTTTGAGAAAAGCTCCTGACTTCAAAACCAGTTTGGCCCCTTAAAAAATCATGGAGACAATGCTTTTATAATGGTTTTCTAACACCGTGCTGACTTTAGGCCCTGTGGTGCTCAGGCCGGCTGTAGGGAGGTC